CAGTATATGAAGAGAAAAATATTCTGAATCGAACTGTCGATTCAGATTTTTGAGATCCGCGCGCGGGCGGGGTCCTATATCCAATATGCAGAACGTGAATACATTATTATTATTATAAAATACATTATTAGACACTTGTTACCTAGTAGTGTTAGCACTAACACCACTACCGCCACTAATTTGCACATAAACCGCCATACACCAAAGTGCCACATGGAAAACCACCTGGCCAAAGCCAATACCCTGCATCTTTTGTAGCACTAGTCGCGTAGTGCTTGGGGTAACAAGATCTTGGAGAAATGACGTGCCGTTTTCGACAGAGGAGGCCGGGAAGAGTCAACGTAGGTCTCATGGCTACGCTTACCATGAAGAAGTAGAAAGTGCTAGAGACTTCATTGTTGCGTCATATGGACGAACTTGGAAGCCGCTTTCATTTGAATATAAGTAAAGTTATGTTTTGTTAGATTTTGAGCTCGTCCAACACGCTATAAAACAAGTGATATCTGCTAATACAGATAAGGTCCTCCAGTCAAAAATTCTTTCGGAATATCAGAGGAGAAAACCTCATTTGCGGATAGAAATATGCAACTTTCTATGCTCTTTCCAGCCAGCAGTATGAGAACGTTTGATAGTATTAGGTAAGGTCGGATTTCGCTGTTCTGGCACCCGTAAAAGCGCTTCAATTGCAGTCGTAAAATTGGACCTGGGAAGATCTTGATAGAGCATCAAGTCTGACGATCGAATTCACTCTGTCATGATTTATTTTCAATTTCGTGTCAAAAGATATTATTCAACGAGAGTGTGTTCAACCACAATCGTTTGTCGATGATACCAATAATGTTCGATTAGTTCTTCTTGTCTACTCATTGAAAGGATTTACGAAGAAAAATGTATTAATAACCGTAGTCTCTTGTCGAACGACCGTAGGATTCCAGTTCCGAAGGTATCCATGCAGCATTATTTTGCGACTTGGTTCAAGGTGGAAGATAACATGCCGGCTCAGTTAACAGTGTTTGGCGTTTAAGAATTAAAATATGTAAGAGCGTTCTTTTTGTTCGCACGTGCGAACTCTATGACGACTGACAGCATCATCGATCTATTGTACGCATGTGTGACCAGAAGTCGCGCTCTTATATAATTCACTTCTTACACTGTACAGGTGATATGCTCTAGGCTAGCAAAACCGTTTATTGTGAAACATTATACAGAACAAGTGACAAGTATGTCATCATAATACAAGGAGTAAATGCATTTCTTTTTCTTCATTACAATTTCATATATCAAACACGTAGATCGAAACGGTACTAAAGCTCTTATGTAATGTATTCAACGAAAGACTAGTGTCTTTGACAAAATAAAATGAAAACTTGAGACGTGCACCTGAGAAATGCTGTTTGTATTTACGTTTTTATAATTTTTTTTTATAAAAAAGGTTTATTATGATAATATAGTTGTCGCTTGTTTTGTGTAATGTTTCACAATAAACGATTTTTGCAACAAATACCTTAGAAAATAATACAACAATAGGACAATACGAAAAAGCGACAACTATATTATCATAATAAAAGGAGCAAACGCATTTCTTTTTCTTCATTACAATTTCATATATCAAACACGTAGAGCGAAACGGTACTAAAGCTCTTATGTAATGTATTAACGTTGTTATCTGTTAGGATTGTAACTTTTCTTAGATTATCATTGACTCAATGACAGACGTAACGAATCAACCATCGTCGTCCTCAGAAACAATAAATAAGTGAGTGGACTGAAGCAAAAATTTCCGACAATTTGATAGCTGATGTAAGCTTGATTTGTTGCTTGTAGTGGTAAACCTGGCGTTATTCGAGATTTTATCCTTGTTTGTCTGTCGGTAGCATCGTGCAATACAGCATTTATGTCTGTAACGAATTTACAGTCGAGCATCAATTCATCAAGCAGTATTGGTTTGTATTCATTGACTATCTGGTATGGTGTAGGTGCGGTAGCGAATCTATTTTTGCCACATCCACTTATGCATTTATTCGGTTATAAATGGACAATATTCATATCAGAAACTGGCATTCTTTTCTACATTGCCGCAAATATGTATAGAAAAGAATGGCTAATATATCCAAGTGAGTTTGATGTCTTACTAATATCTCTAGCATTTGTCTTACCCTATCGATGAAAAGTACTTATATTATAATTAGCATTGCCTATGCAAAATTTTGTTGATGAGTCGGCGCTGTCTGTTTTTGTTTTAGCCAAATGCTCAGTAAACTAGCCCCACTGCATGACTGACGGGGAAGCCCTCCAGGTGTCCAACTCCGCTTAACCTCATATTTTGCTGATCGATAAAACACATGAGTGTCACAAAAAGCCTACAGGATTTGGGATCCTTACAGACTTACGGTTCATTTAGTAAAATTCAAGTTTGTCGTATACTGTAACGTACTATTCCAGTGGGTTAAACAGCTGAAACTCACAACAATATTAGTCCTAAGCAGAGCTTGCATGCTATCAAAATTTCCGACCTTAGCCTTCTGTTGTTCAGGAGAAATTGAATTTTGTGGTTTTCACACGCTAGCCGGACTGTCGGGCGAACTGCAGATGAAATAATTTTGCTTTCGCTATCAAAAAAATTTCGTTGCGATACTCATAGGCTGACAAAAGAATTTATTATCTCTATTGGACAGCTTTTAAGCGCTTGCGGTATTGAATTACACGATTGCATTTTTTTCATCTGCACTTTGCCAAACAGTGCGGATATTCTATGTAGAACAGAAAATTTGATTGCAAGTTTTGCAGCATACAAGCTTTGCTTACGATTAATATTGCTGCGAGTTTCAGCCGCTTAACCTATTGGAATAGTACGTTACAGTAAACATACCAAAAACTCGAGATTTACTAAATGAACCGTAACTCGGGAAGGAAATCGCAACAGCTCAAGGCTTTTTGTCACACTCATGTGCCCTGTCGATCAGCAAAATCTGAGCTCAGAATGTGAGCTCAAAGATTCCCCCGAAAGTGATTTGCGAATAGTTTCAAAGAAAAGACAAGACAAAATGACAGCTGTCATGCCTCGAAGTATTATATTGGGTATCGAAAAAATAAAATACTGACCCAGAAAAAGTGAGACTTGCAAACGTTTTGCTTAGGCCCTGATTGCTGTTTTTGAAGAGGTAGACATTTCTAGCGCTGCGTTAGTGTGGCCAAAAAAGTGCCAAAAAACGCGCATTTCTGCAAAAATCTTGAAAAAAGGTCGACCTGGGATGGATCCCGTAGGTTTTTCAATTACTTACACTCCGCTGCATTCGTTGTGAATACTAGCAATAATTGTATTGACATAGAAAGAAAACAACTGAAACAGCTATCTAATCCACGTGTAGATCTGAAATTGGAAATGACTAAGATAGCTGTTGCATAACAAATCCAAATCCAGTAAAAGCGTACGTAATAGGAGTTGTTTACGAAGCTCTCAAGCAATATATTTTTTAAACTTTTTCAGATGCTTTTTATTTGTCGTGAAAGACAATAGAAGATCGATGTGAAATTTCGTCTTATTTTCACTTTATAGTGTCTGCCATATGTGGTCTGGTCTCCTGTGCATTAATTCCAGCCAAAGATGCTTACAATAAACAGCTTAGTAAAACACACGCCAAGAATTCAAATAAAAATGTCGATGCTCAGTTAAATCAATTCGTTGGAATATTTTTCAGTGTGAATATGACGAGTAAGTCTAGTAAATGAGATGAATCCTGTTGGATAGAGTGCATTTGCATGCTTTAGATCAAATATGGGGTAATCTTGTATCGTACTTTATACTCTGGAATCATAAAACAATAAATAATACCAACTTAACACAATGTGGAGCAGAGTTTATAGAGAAAGCTGTTTCATTACAAATGAACAATGCCAGTAGTGATCAAATTTCGCAAAATACGGTCTATACGCTTAATACAGATTTGTACATTTTAACTAGAATCACTAAGTTTATTATAGTTACTCATCTTGTTTGGTGCGTTCATGGGTCTAGTTGTTATCAGTTTGATTCTGATCGCTTTTGCAAACAAACAGAAAAACGATGAACGTAAGAACAACCTAGAAGAAACCTAGTGGACTATAGGAAGTCGACCATGCTGATTCTGAATACCAATATCAGACGGGCTGCTAGGCCTCCAGTTATCCGGAAACTCTAAAAAATCTCGGAAACTTTTCCTAATAAGCCATATTTATAGCGCGCGAAATTCTGACTAAAATGAGATATCATCCAGCTCTACACGACCTTTCTTTGCAAAGTTACAGAATTTACAACAAAACCCCCAAATTCAGTTTTCCTTTTTCTTTCTATATCTCTGAGCTGACAATGAACATTTAGGACTATTCTTGTAAATTCTAGCTGTCTCGTCGGAAATGAACGATTCCATTAGACTTAGAAGAATATTGTTTATAAGAGAGTATAGCGTAATGATCTGCGGGATATGTTATGAATGGGAAGGAAAGTCGAGTAACGAACCAGAAATGGGATATAGTCAGCAATGGACATGCAGGCACCAGAATCAGGAGATTTTAAATTTAATCCAGCATATCTGATAAGTTTTTTCTATTTCTTTCTACTTCTGTGAAAATGATGATTTTTTTGAATTTCCGAATGAAACTTTTTCTGATTTTCCAACACCCGCACCTACGTTCTCTAAAAGTCAAAACACTGAATGAACTGTGTGCTTATTTTTGTTTGCTAGCCTCCACAGATTTTATTCGAAAGAGTAAGATCACACAAAACGTCAAAACAAAATAACTGCCTCGGTGTGTACAAACAGACACTCTATATAGATGAAGAAAGAATGTTGACTCAAGAAGGTCTGAGTCAACATTCTTTGTGATAATGAGAAATGGAAAAGAGGAAGAGGAAGGAATGTCAGTGACGACTGACATAACACTCCCCTCGTGGCTTCAAGATGAGCCTCCCGGCTCATCGGAAAAAAGGAGTGGTGACAACATAACAGAAAACAAACAGTCAACTAAACCAAGCGTTCATAAACCGGTAATAAGTTATTGACGTGTGCCACGAATGCACCATCACCATCATCTAACATGTAATTGACTCCAGTAATTTTATCAGTAATTCGATAGGGACCACGATAGCGTTCATCTAACTTTGATCGGCCGATTAATATTTTGAGCCAAACGAGATTATCAATGTTGTAAACAGGACTGGATCTATTTCGATCATAACGCTGTTTTGTCAATGTTTGTTGGTATTGAATGTTTGAACGAGCGATCTTGTTAGCAATCGCTTTGAAGCGTTGAAGTTCAGTCCAAAAATCGTTACCTTTGCAATGACGTAGCCGGATAATCGGTCGGTTATGACTAGAACGTATTTATATTCGTCTGATGAGACCGGAGCTGGATCCCACCAATCGAGACCGAGTACTTGAAAAACTTCAGAAGGAGGATCAATCGGTTGCAATAGACCAGGAGCCTTTCGACGTTGTATATTAAATTCTGAACACTTAGAACACGATCGAATGTAATTTTCAATTGAATCTTTCATATTTGGCCAATAATATTTGTTGTTAATGTTTCTCCATGTGCGTTCCACGCCAAAATGTCCAGCTAATGGATGATCATGATGGGTGAATAGTATATCTTTAATTAGTGTTTGTGGAATACAAGGTACACGTAGTTTTGTTTTCCCTCGAGGTAATAGTTTAAACAGGACAACATCCTTAATTGTAAAGGAAGATTTTGACGGATTTTGTTTGACCATGTTAAATATTTCTATAATATCGGTGTCTTCCATTTGTTCTTTTCTAATATGATCTAGGCTGAAGTCGAACAATTGTGGAGAGGGACTTGTAGTTGTAGCTGGCGCCGATGAAAGAGATGCATGAGCTGCCGTGGAGGTTGTCAGAGGCGGAGCTGGTATTAAGCGTTTAGCTTGTTGACGCGTAATGACGGCATTTAGTTGTGTGAAGAACGTAGATGGCGGACGTTGTGGTTTAATTTCCTATGTTTCAGTCCCTTGAGGCCACTTGTTATCATTGATGGGCTTTTTCGATGTCGAGGAGGTCGGGTGTTTCGAAAGGTAATCGGGACCGGTGTTCTTATCACGAGGCAAGTGTTTGACTTCAGTAATTTGTGGAATAATATCTTGCAATTTAAATAGCCAATACATAACACGTTTATTATCAATTTGTTTTTTATGGAAGTTGATCAATGGTTGACTGTCCGTTTCTATCGAAAAATAAGAGTCGCCAATATATTCTCGTAGTTGCTGTATACTCTAATACATAGCTAACGCCTCGCGTTCCATTGGATCATAACGTTTTTCGGTGTCGGACAATGTACGCGATTTATAATAACATATTCGAGTGCCATGTTGAGTAGTTTGACGTAATATGCCGCTGATGCCAATAATTGATGCGTCTGTTGATAGGATGA